CTCTCTCCTGACTCTTTTCAAACTTGCACGCGTTCATAAATCACGTAACTTCAGACTACGGGATTCACGTTTCATGCCGTGCCGTGCCTTTAAAGCGAATTTTTGTTTGCTCTCGTTCAGATGACACAACATCGTCAACAGAGTCAATAAACTGCAATGAGCTGCCTGACTTGCCTGAATACACCGTTTCTCACAGTTTATAAGGCAAGCGAGTGACTTCCTTTCAACAGTATCCCACGGATTGCAAAATTTTTCCCTTTGTAACTCAAAGGAAACGCGTAGTTAAAATTTTATTAAAATGAAGAAATTAACATATTTTAACGTACATTAAAATCAGTTTGGAATGGGGGGTGGATTACGGACTATAAGCAGAAGTACGAACAAAGTTAACACTTTTATTATTCTGTCAGCGTTTCGGCCAGACAACTTTATCAGTCCTCTGGTAAACAAATGAACGAAGGCAAATACTGCCCATTGCCTGTTCTGAAGATAGCCATTGTTTTGCGGCTGAAAGACTGACACTGAAATGAGAAATTTAGCATTGGTCTTTTGGTTGTGTATGGGTGTAACTGTCGAGTCTATACCACCTGCACTTAAAAAAAGAGAGACAATCCAAATCGGTTTTTAATTCATATCAGGAGCAGAAATGGAAGGTGAGAGTGAATCGCACTATTGACAGATTGAGAAATCACGACATGTTTGCTAAAGTACAGTTGTTGCCAATGTGTTGTTGTATGTTGGTGGCAAAGAGGTCGGCTTCGAACTCTGGACGTTCACGCGTATAGCAGGGACTGTCTTAATCACGAATTTCCTAGAGCAAGGAATTTCTTACCTCACCTTGTTACGATGCAGCCGGAGTGAGAAGCAGGTTGCAGTCCGTTGATTTTTAGGCACAGAACATGATATTCTGGCGTGGTCATGGTAGAATGGAGATATACGGCGATTCTGTCCAACGCGACCGCCTCTTGTGACTGCACTTCGCCATGACCCACTCGACAGCTGTCTGTCGAGAATGACTATCAGCACATGGTGTAACCTAGAAAAATTTGTGTATGCTTAGTGCTTCTGTGTGAATGCAGTGTCATGTTTTCGTCATTCTCTAAGGCCAACAAAACTCTGAACATGAAAATCGTGTAGCATGATGAAATCTGACCTCATTTGCATGACATTTTTGAGATTTTCAATAATTTTTCGATCAAAAGTCGTTCAGAGTGGGAAAGAAACGTCTTCGAAGGATCTGCGTCCCATTGAAAATCGAAGGTCATTTGTCGAGCTCTTCCGGCGATTCACTCGCTTATTGATAGT